GAGAGAGAGAGAGAGAGAGAGAGAGAGAGAGAGAGAGAGAGAGAGAGAGAGAGAGAGAGAGAGAGAGAGAGAGAGAGAGAGAGAGAGCTGTTGCAGCAGAGTGTGGAGCGCAGCGGAGCGGCGGCATCGACTCGACAACGGCGGAGCAGCGAAGTGTGCGGTGATGGCTGCGAACCGGCACTCGCAGTCCCGAAAGACGCCGTTGAATTTTTTATTCAACGGCGTTAAACGTGATTCAACGCGTTTTAACGCGTTTGAACGGCGTTAAACGCAGTTTAACACGCGGGCCCGCGGTGCGTTTGTGGCGGTTCGGTCGACTGCGCGTGGGTTCGGGCGAGCGAGGGAGACGGTAGGGGGCGCTAAACGGGGGACCCTGAGGCGAGGGACCCTGAGGCGGGGGACCCTATGGCGGGCGGCGGTGAAGGAGGGTTGGATTGCGGGAGGGGGTTAGGGGAAGGGGGACCCTGCGGCGGGCAGCGGTTAATGGGGGTTTAGGCATCGGCGGTGAGGTCGGGGTGAGTCAGCAAGGGTTGTCTCGCCAGGGTGGTCAACATGGGGAGGGCACAGCACCGTCAGCATGAGGTTGCCGCGGACCATGTGCAAGATACATTCAGGGCCCGCTCCCCTGTCTATCGGTACCTGGTTGTCGGCCAGAAGGTCGACAGCAAGGGGGTCATGATGCTCCGTTGCTCGTTTTGCAACAAAGTTTTCCAAGGGACCCAATTTCAGGCCACGCGGCACTTCTCGCAGACTAACTACTGGAAGGATGTCAGCGACGAGGCGTTGTACGAGATTGCTCGACGGACTCAACAGAAGCTCGAGGCCGACCAGATGGAGAGGGTTGCCAGGTATGCAGCGGAGTGCGGACTCGATGTGCCCGGCACGGGTGGTGCAAGGGGAGGAGAGGCGGGGCGGCGTTCGGTGGACGGAGGGGTCGGGGGAGATGGTGGGCATGGTGCGGCAGACCCCACTTTGGGTGGTGGAGGCGGTGAGACGGAGGAGGGCGTGATCAACGTAGATCGCGAGGCGCGTGTTCCGGGTGAGGAGGGAGTCTCGGAATGGGAGGACATGCCAGAGTTTTATCCAGGCACTGGGGAGAGGTTGGAGGACTGGCGGAGGCGAGCAGGCAAGGGAGCTGCAACGGAGGGGTCTTCCAAGAGGAAGGAAGGAGGAAGTGATCCGCTGCCACCCCAGCAGGGAAGAGGCTTCGCCAACAAAAGGTGACTGATGTCTATGGTGGCGAGTGGGTTGCTCGCCACAAGAAGGCATTCCTTCGCTGGCTGTATTCCAGCGGGGTCTCCTTTAATGCCTTCCGCAACCGGGCGTGGAAGGCATATCAACAGGTGCTTCTTGAGCAGCCTGGCAGTTCCCCACGCGCAGTGCTCCCCAACCACTGCGAGATTACGAGTATGCGGGCGGTGGAGACCCACCGTGCGGAGTTGGCGGAGGAGTTGGAGGAGGTGAGGCAGCCATTCTGGGTGACTGGTGCCACCTTCCTCTCCGATGGGAGGAAATTACGAGACGGGAGACCGATCGTGAATTTCCTTGCTGCTGGCTCTCGAGGGGTCGTCGTGTACACGACGATCAATCGAGAGGGCGAGGCGGACGATGCAGTGCACGTCCTTCGGAGATGGGTTACCATCTTCCACGAGTTCACCTTCGGCGGGTCGCCGCGGATCAATGTGATATGCACTGACTCCGCTTCTGCCTATGTGGGGGCTGCGAGGGCATTGACCTCGCCGTTCATACCTCCTGCACTGAGGAGGATCACTTGGCTCCTGTGCTCCGTCCATGTCTGCAAGAAATTATTGTCAAAAATGGGGATGAGTTGCGACGCGTTTGTGGATGCGATCACACGCGCTTGTGTGCTGGTGGTGTTTTTCAAAACCCACCAGGCCGCCCTTCATTTTTTTAGGACGCGCAGCCCCGACAAGGGGCTGATTCTTTCTTGCGAGACGCGGTTCGCGTCTATTTACTCCATGCTGGAGAGGCTGTTGGCCGTGCAGGACACTCTGCAGGACATGATGCGAGGGGACGACGCGCGGGCTTTTGCTTCCATCTTGTTGTCCGCCGATGTGTGCGTCATGGCGTGTTGGGTGCGCCGACAGATCAGATGGGATCCATGGTGGCAGAGGGTGGCCACCATCGTCCATATCATGCAGCCCATCATAGAGTTGCTCAGGCGGATGGATCGTAGAGGACAGTACATGTCCCTTATGATCGAGTGGACGCAGGATCTTGTCCGCCATTTTACAGTCGCATGCGCCCCTTTGGCCTTTGGGGAAGTCGTTCGCCGAGCGGATCATCAGGCGTGTGCAGGCTCGCACAGAGCACATGCTTGAGCCGGCTCACTGCGCAGGGTTCTTACTGAACCCTCGCAGGCGACACGTTCGCTACTTTTCGGGGCAGTAAGAGCGGTACGATGCTTGGATTGTGGGGCACGCCAAGAGGTACATTCTGACGCAGACGGGATTCGAGTTGGAGGGTGCGGAGTACATCCTTGCATGTCGGCAGTTTGAGGACTTCCACATTCAGTAGGGCAGGTTCGGGGATTGGGGCGGGCCGGAGGGGCGTGCTCGTGGGCGCGCGTGCAGCGGCGACAGCGAGACGATCGAGTGTGCGTCTTGGTGGTCTCAGTTCGGGTCGGGCGCGCCAGAGTTGCAGCGTAGCGCTCTTCGGGTGATGCACATGTAGTCTTGCGCGCCAGCGGAGAGGAACTGGGCAGTCCACGAGGGCATTCACACGAAGAAGCGCAACCAGTTGGCCTTCGAGAAGGTCGTGCAACTCGTTGAGATCACCGCAAATGTGCAGTTGACTGAGTATCGGCGGGCTGGATGCGGTTATGTGCTGCCATGGCAGCGGGACGAGGGCATGCTGGACTCCCAGGCAGGACTCGAGTTTGAGCCTGTGCACTCGGGGACTCGCAGGGGGATGACGGAGGAGAAGATTGTCTGTCAGGTTGCACTTATTACCCGGGATCCCATCGGGGCGTCTGCACCACCCTCGGCTGATGCCGTTTTCGATAGACGTGATTGCATTTTTTGTCCCTACCCCAGGGAGGACGACTCATACGAGGAGCCGATACCCGAGGCGGCAGATGACCCTGCGCTCCGCATTCCCCAGATATCGACGAGACACACGAGGATCCCGACTCCAAGGAGACGAGGGCACACACTGCACGACGGGCAGCGGACCGGGCGGAGAGGGAGATGCTGGGGGGAGACGAGGACTTTTGGGGCCCATTCGGTGAGGTCGCTTCCACTGGCGGCCCTTAGGCGCAGACGACGACCCCCACTCCGACGAGGCGGGATTCGTCCATGCCGCCACCTCCTGCTCCGAGTCCTGCACCACTTCAGCCGGACAGGGAGGAGTTGGGGTCCTCTTTGCCTCAGTGCGGCCTTCTCCATAGAGGCGGGGCCTGTCCGCCAGCTTAGGTTACGATCACCTTCCCTGGGGATATTGCAGGAGGAGGGGGCACCTTCGGCAGCAGCAGTGGAGAGTTCAGTGGCACCAGCGGCGGTGCCGGACGCGACGATCGCAGCCGCGGTGGAGGAGATAGCAGCAGCAGCAGCAGCATCAGTGCTGGAGGAGATGGCAGCATCAGTGCTAGAGGAGGATCCACCGGCGGCAGGAGTAGGGGCAGCAGTGGAGGGGCAGGTGGCAGCAGCAGGAGGAGCAGGTGGAGGAGCAGCAGCAGTGGAGGTTGAGGTGGCAGCAGCAGTGGAGGAGGAGGAGGCACCGTCGGCAGCTGCAGTGGAGGAGGAGATAGCGGCACAGGCCGAGGTGCAGCGTGGGGGCGATGACGAGCGCCTCGTGCAGCAGTTCCTCACGGAGGAGCTCGGTCCGGCCATAGCAGGTATGACCCCGGGTGTGGCGAGGGGGTTTGGGATTTCAGATTCGGAGATGGGGACCCACTTAGACTTAGATTTGTCAATGGCCCTTCCACCTAGTTGCAGCGGGGCGACATCGACGGACCAGGCTCCATTGAGGGACGAGCCGCCAAGACAGACTTCGACGCAGACCACGAGAGAGAGGACGATGACTGAGTCTCCAGATGCAGCACGCAACATCATGGAGCGAGAGAGGGCTAGACTTTTGGCATCGACTGACCCGCGTGCTCAGGCGTTCGCACGGGCCGTAGTGGAGGCCAGGCGTCAAGAGATAGGGGGGGATTATGTGCAGGATGGGGTGGTGGCGGGGGAGGACGTTGCGGAGGGAGTGGCAGCAGAGCCGGTACCCGAGGCTATATCGGGTGGAGCAGAGGCAGCGGACGTTGCTGTAGAGGGACGGCCTGAGGCGGTGGATGAGGCTGTGCAAGCAGGACAGCGGCGAGTCAAGGAGGCTATACACGCACGACGCGAGGTCCAGGAGATAGCGACGGGTACAGTCGTTCCGTTCTCGGGCCTGCACTTGGCTCAGGCCCGACAGCCGCATACGGTTTAGATGGCAGTGCATGGTGTGCCACCGCCCGTTATCACGGATTTGGGGTCCGAGCCGGTGGTTGTGCCCCTACGTCTTCCTAGCCACTTTGCTCCGCAGGAGGTCCGTCGTCCTTTGGATGCAGAGGAGTTGGCGAGAGAGGCTGTGCGCGATGTTACTCGCTTGGACCGGCGCATCTTCGACCGGAGGCTCGAGCATTCACCATGGAAGTCGATCCCTTCGGTTCGATGGGGTCCCGCATCGCCGGTGTGGTCTGGGTCTACCTCCACCGGAGGACATACCACGGGACATGTTCCAGGGGTTTCGGGTGGCGTGACGGAGACAGCGCCACGCACAGGAGACATGCCACCCCCTCCTCCCAGAGCACCTGCAGGCGATCCATCATCGTCGCCCACAGCCAGAGGCTCTCGATCCCCACACACGCCTGGGAGATCTAGGATTCGTGACACGACAGCAGTTCAGCAGAACGTGTCTGACATGACAATATTCGGGAGGACAGATATAGATTTGGATTCCACCCGCCGTGTCACGGAGCACACTGCACGCCTTCAGCCGGGCTTGGGAGGAGGAGGCGCTAGGACGACCGCAGCGAGGGAGGTACCGACTTCAGGTTGTGAGCCTCAGCGAGGTCGTGGCAGAGGAGTGTCCACCGAGACCTTGGAGTACGCTCTGAGAGCAGCGACGCGTGTCGTGCAGGAGCAAACTCCACGCAAGCGTGGAGTGCCTCCTCGTCCACGCCCCATGCCTGCAGAGGGAGGCACAACACTTGGAGAGAGTTCGGGGGTAGAGGGGTTGGGGATGCCTCGTGGATCCCGCCGTGAGCAGACCATTGCAGAGGCTAGTGCGAGGGTTGTTGTGTTGAGGAAGCGAGGTGGCCCAGTCACCATTGAGGAGGAGGATCCTAATACGGATGCGTCTGTGCGGAATGCGGACGAGGATTACGAGGGCGAGGAGGGGGGAGAGGAGGATAGCAGGAGCGGTTCTGATGGTGACGACGACGACTATGATGAGCCCCCACCTTCCCCAGGACCCCCACCGACGCGTACATTTAGACGCTTCGCTGCACGGACTTCTTCATCCTCACGAGGGAGGAAGAGGTCGACATCCGGCACTCGAGGGGGCATGAGGAGACACAGCGGGAAGGGGAAGAAGGGTCGTTGACCGATAAGGCCAACACTCCGCTTCTCCCCTACTCGCACTGTACGTCGTCATGTTGTGCGGTTGTAGTTTTTTTGGTAGTCTGAGTCGTCTCGTCTTGTCTCGGTATTGTCAGACACTCAGTGGTTGTGTGCGTGCTTTACTTGTTGTTGTGTATGATTTTGGTAGCAGTAGGGTGTTCGTAGAGTATGATTTTGGTGCCAGTACGGTGTTTGTACAGTGCCGTCGGTTGCAGCAGACTGAGTTTAGACTGTACAGTAGTTTTTTTTCTTCTATCATCTAGGCAGCTACGACCAGACTTGTAGACCATTGTTTCTTTTATTTTTTTCGACATGTGGTGC